AGACCGCAGCTAAATGGATTAAAGAATGAGAGCACTTATGAATATAATGCTTCAGATGGCGAGGCCAGATGAAAAAGTGACAGTGAGAAAAGCGAGAAAGTGAGGAGAAAAGAAGATAAAATATCAAAGAAGAAAGCAGGCAATCAATTATTCAGAGTAACATCTGTGTTTTTTAGCAATCCTCACTCTGTGGTAACCATCCCACTGGATTCACTGTTCATCTTCAATGTATGTAATAGAGTGCTGTTTGAACACAGACGTTTCTATGTAGTGCAAATCGTTAAATCTTTCTGACACTCAGAAGAGTTTCGATGTAGCCAAGTTTAGAATAAAACTTTCTGCATTCCTGCGTCTTCCTCTTCAAAGCCAACATTAAGGCGGCTTTAGGAAAACTATCTGAATCAATCATGTTGGGATGATTTGTTATCGCTTTGAAGTTAGGTAGGTTGTGTAAAATAAGCCCCAAACTTGAGTTTCATTCCCCAGCAGGAGACATTCCTACTCAGCAGAAAGCATTTCAACAACTAGCATATATCCTCAGGTAGCACCTCACCTGGGTGGAGTATTCATTCAAGACGGGATGTGAAAAGCAATACAAATGCAGAGATTTGCAACTACGAACTGGGAATGACAGTCAAGAATGGGGAGCAACGATATAGATCATAGAAAATGGAACAATTCTTCTCAGCACACTTTAATTTGCTGGAAGATCACCTTCTATATTCACTTCCCTCTAACATCTTGTGAAGGTTCTATGCCTTTCTTAGGCCTAGTCCACATGTAGCGCAATATCTGGGTTTTATGCGTTTCTGCCTTTTATCCACTCAAAAGCTCAGTTTAGTAACACTTATTTATAAAAACTCAGACCAAAGTGGAGATTTGAGAATACATGTGGACATGAGAAATTACACTCTGCATCCAATATGCGTTAATATCCATATACTTGCTTTGACAAGACTCCCAATCGACATTGTCCACATTAAATCACATTAAAACAAATTCAGATTTGTGGATCTGATATGACAAAATGCATTAGAATAGCTCATGAGGGCATTTAAGAAGAACCGTAGAAGTAAACACCGACAGACATCCTAACCACTCTGACAAGTGAAATGCCATTTCATTCAAGTATAATTATAAAGTGGTTGTAAGGCAACCTTCCAGCTGGATGTGAACTCCCATACCCCTTGTGATTTGTATCTGACTGCAAGTTATGTCATCGCTCTTCCAATAAATTCATGGATTTACTCACACTGCTTTGCTATGGGGCCCCGGAAGCATGTGTCACTATTTTGTAGCCAATTAGTATTGCACCATCCGGCATCCCGTTATGTCGACCGGACGAGCCCCCTCTGGATCGAGTGCTCGGCCAGATGGCATCCCACCAGCAGAACATATGATTGCTCATGTCACATTGAACCTGACATAATGTTTGGTGGCACTTTGCCCAGATTTCCCTCAGTGAAACGAAGAGGGCATCATTTATCTTGTAAGAACTGTCACCAGAGGGGTATTTATGAGTGTCTACTTTGCAAAAACTATGGCCACCAACATCATATGCTTGCAAGTTGCCAATGTGGTACTTGTCCAACAAGCTAATATCCAGTGTCCAATGTTGGCCCAAACACTAAAGCTACACTAATCAGAATATCTCTACACCCATCCGCTGGCTTTTATGGGCTTAGTATTTTAAAAAGAAACCTGGTGCCTTTTATTCACAACATAAAATTCAAAGGCTGTTAACACGACTGTGGAGCTCTTTAGTCTGAACATAATAAGGTTAGAATAACACACAACATCAAAGACCACTTCTGTCTGTAAGGCTAATTTCTCTACTGATAGATAAAGAGGACTTGTATGGACACTCAATATCAGTGAGCCACCCTTAAGGAGAATCCATTCTTACAACAGATTGAATTTCCTGGGCTTTTCTGGAACCACACCAATAACTTATGGGTTGAATTATCAGTGGTCATTTTTCTATCAACATTTTTGTGTATTGCATCTGAAAATAATAATTTCCCCAATTTTGCAAAAATGTTTTTACAGTCACTTGAGGTGGTTGTTGGATTTTCAGAAAAAGATTTAATGCACAATTGTCAACTACTTTTATCCTCCTTTGGGGTTTGTGAGTTGTGTTTACAACTCACAAACCCAAAACCTAATCAATCAATATAGCAGCATTTGGTTTTTACCATCCTAAAATTATGAGAATGAACTCATTTGTAGATTTTAGCCTATGGCAAGAAGCCCTAACTCTCCTGTTAGTCCTTTTTCTGCCTTTTGTCTTTTATTTAGAAGCTTCCACTTAGTATTCACACATATCTCAACTGGTGAGATTTAACACATGCAATTATGAGTAGAAAGCATCAAATGCAATCATATTGTGGGATAAATGGAAGGCTGGTGTCTGCCGTTAACATTAGAAGAAAGTACCACATAGACAACAACCATGCTGAGCTCAAGAAGATTAGCTTCAAATCTGAACGCAGCTGGATTCAAAGAACTCAGAACTCTGTTTTTTTTTATACTGAATATTTAAAGTAAAATCTTGCAGAAAAAAAGGAAAGCATGTCATGATTTCTCTCCCCTGCTGAACCGCACACTCAGATTGACGGGCATCATCTGCTAGAGCAACAGAGATCCGTGGTGTGTCGATGGAACCATGCTGAAGAGCATATGCCTCGGTGCGAGAGGCACATGCTGATTGGTGGAAACAAGGCCAGAGATGGCAGCCATAACATCACAGCAATTTATATGTATGTAGCAGAGTGTGAGAAGGAGGTTAGGCATGAAAATTTGTTCCTTTGGAGTCCAGGCTTACTGGAAGACAGGCGGTGTTTTCAGAAGTATTCATCGGGTTCACTTCGTTTCAGTAGAGAGAGAGCAAATAAGACATAGAGGAAAGCGATTAGAAGACAGTAAAATGAGGATGTGTGCGGTTGCAATGATGCATCTTTTAACTCATTCCATTTCTCTACATTGGCATATTTCTACCGTATGTTACAGTTCTTTTGGGTCTTGTTTCTATTGGTTTCCTCTGAGTAAAACATGATCACAGAAAATCACATCAAAGCCAGTTGAGGACATGAAAAAGCCTAATCTGGTCTTCCGAGGCAGAACGTCATACTCTTTATCTTCTGGCGCTCCTTAAAAGAAATGCCAAAATAAATCAAATAACCTTGTTAGGAGGGAGTTTTAAGTATGTTAGCGTCTTCACTTTGATTTCTCCCAGTTCTAATCAAACTGGGAGATGATGAAAAAACTTGAGAGAGTAAAGTGTTTCCAAGTTGATTTTAAATTCTGTGGGGAAAAAAGTTATAGAAAGATAAATATAGTTGAAGCAACAAACCAATCGGTGGTTAACCACAATCACTCAGCTTTTCACTTGAACAGTGACTGGACTATCAACATAAAGTGAGTCAGGTTTGCTATGATGTACGATCTAAAAATTACACACAGCAGATGCGTTCAACCAACCATATAACAGTACAAATTGGAATTATGAAAATAAATCCACTTGATGGAAAGATACCAATTGCAGAAAAAAAACTCATGTTTTTTGTTTTGTTTTTTTTTTAGAAAAAGTCTTTTCCACAAAATGACAAAGGAAACACTTTTTTAGCATCACGAGTCACATGATCAACAACTGGATGTTACTACCGATGGAAAAGACAAAGACAGCAGAAACTGGTTTTTTTTTTGTTTTTTACATTAGCAGAAATGCCTTGCAAATATATTGCAATCAAAAACCATGAACGTTGGATTGTTCACTGACAGTTTGCACTGTCAATTTTTTTTTCAGTGATACTTAAAAAGGTCGTCCCTGATTGGTCATTGAGCATATTGTTTGGTCTAACCACCAGAAGATTTAGGGATGCTATTTGGATAATTCAAACACAACTTCTTAATATTTTTGGAATATTTTCGGATGTTTTCTTATGCTTTCCACCGTCTCATGATAATCCCTAATAACTATATGAGAATCCTTAATCTTTTCTAATAATTTCTGTCGGTTTATTATAGTTTTGAGAGCATTGTCCACAAAAAATAACATTGTTTGTTGATTATTCCAGCAAGTTATTGTAGCAATATTGACAATAAAGATACAAGTGTGACTTCAAACCACTTTCATTACAAATGAATCACCATCATCATCAAAATTATTGCCGTCAGGCATATTATTGCCACCTTCAGAAGATGTAACCGGAACAGCAGCAGGTGTAAAGTATATTGTAAAATATGTAAATGTCAGCAGTCACAACAATACCCAACAAATTTGCAGCAGGTTTCTATATAGTTCAAAAATGTCCTGCCCTAGACATTCCACTCAAAGGTTCTCACAGACATTTAACTTGAGGTAATTTGTCCATTTTTTGTCTGAATAGAAATTAACCTGTATAACGTTGATTCCTCAGTGTTAACACCCACCTTGCCCCCTGTTACCAAAGTCTGAAACCAGTCCTCTCTTCAGACTTAACCATCAATAGTTCATACAGACACAAAGTATTCAGGTGGAACAAAAAGAGTCATTTGTTAGAAAGACCTTTTTATTTATTTTTAGATTTCTTTTTCAAACATAATATTTGCGGTAACCAAGATTACAGTCAGCATCTCAAGTCCTGCACATGGTCCCTCTGCAGAACATCACATTTTTTTCGTCATTCACAGTGTTCGTTCAGAAATACTGACCCCAGAGACTTTCATTTGCATGACAGACTGCAGAGGAAAAAAATATTTCAGCAGGAAATTAAAAAGAAAAACTATCCCTGCATAAATATAGCTGTTGCGCATTCTAATGAGGCTGAATTAAAATCCACAAAGCGACTCTTTACCGACGATTGCACAATCTGAAAAGTGCGCTGGATGTCCGTGGGAATTCATTAGACGCGCGCAGCTCAAAATGAAGCGCGTTCATATCGTCACATGTCAGTCAGAAGACATTTAAACCCTTCAATCCCCTCTTTTCTTTTCTCCACCGCAACAGTTCATTCTCTTACCTATGTGGCTGATTAGAAGCAGCTGGCAGATGCAAACATCGGTTCTCAGAGCTGTAGAGTCCATGGTGTCGATGAGCTCAACGTAAAAAGCCGGGAGGGAAAAAAATATTTTTCGGTTTTTTTTTTTTAATTATCGGATGTGCTAAGAGGTCACATCGTTGAGCCCGTCCTCTGTGTGTGGGACGGACTCGATACAGACTGGCTCAGCAAGGCTTGGTTCTGCTGGGTTGGTTTAAGGAGAGCGGGCTCGCGCGCCGCCAGGTTGGTTGGTTGGCTGGACGGTTGCGGACTCGCGCTCTTCACGTACATCGCATTAAAGAGACGGACAGCGCGCGCGCCGCCCACTGCCTTGAACGGAAATCAGTGAATCGCTCCTATAATGTGCGTCTGATCTTCCTGCAGGGACCCATTTATCTGCAGCGGCTGGGACTCACTGGCTGCCTGTCGCTCACACAGCCTGTTATAAATACAGTTAATATTATATCATACAGGTTGATCGTTGCATGTCTTGATTTATTTTATTTTTTTTACCATGACTATATGTTACTAGAATCCTAACAATTATGTATGTAGGTTTAAAATAAACTACATACATTTACAATCTCAAAATTGTATTTCTCTCCATTTATAATGAAAGGCTATGACCTAAAACAATGGCGCATATATATATATATATATATATATATATATATATATATATATATATATATATATATATATATATATATATATATATATATGAATTAAGCTTTCAGCAAATGTTATTTAATAAATGCTTTAATTTTTTCCTAAGCTAAGATGATGAATATTAATCATCTGGTTGACAGCCAATAGTCCTTTATAATGCAAAAAAAATCTATTCTGCACTATAGAAACATCTATAGATTAACTAAAACAGCAGTGATAAAAAGACAATATTAAATAAAGCCAAAGGGTACTCTGGGCATTAAAAAAGGAACAAACGTAGAATAAAATTCTGAAATGCAAATTGAACTTTCAGATTTTTTTCTGAAATGTGTATAATTTTGGTGAAGGCACTGGTCAAAATGTAATGTTTGTTTAGTTGTTGACTGTATGGTGTTTTCTTTACAACTTTGTAAAGTGTTTTTATGTTATAAAGCACTTTGAATTCCCTTGTTGCTGAAAATGTGCTATATAAATAAAATTACCCTTTATAAAGGGTAATTTTATAAACTTGACTTGATTGATTGATAGAAATTTCATTTCCCCTTTATTTTAACTACCTCAACAAAAGAACATGATACAAAAAGGTGTGCAACCCTTTGCTTTTAGCATTTTTGTCATGCGTTTTTGCTCAGGTTCCAGAAGGATCGGCTCATGTATCAATCAATTAATCAGTTGAGTTTATTTGTATAACACATTTCAGTAACAAGGCAGTTCAAAGTCCTATACAAAAAACACAAAAATTAAAAAAAATATAAAACAACGTACAGTGACCAATTGAAAAACCAGTAACAAACGTCACATTTTGAGTGCCATGATCAAAATCGTCAATTCACATCGAATATGTTGGTCAATGTTCCAACTCTAAATAGGTGGCTTTTTAGCCTTGATTTACAGGAACAGAAATGCCTGCTAATAGTCTACTAGGGGAGGAGAGGAGGAAGAACCGGTTAAAGCCACGCCTGTGGAGAAGGAGCTTTTGAGAACTTGGATTGGCTGAAGTTTCCTTCCAGGATAGCTATGAATTAAGCTCCATCCATTTTCACATCCACTCCAACAAGTTTTCACTCCCATGTGGAGGTGGAAGGTTCAGGGTTACATGTAGTGTCAGTCTTCAGCACGCCTAATGTTCTGCACGACGGTCAAAAGGTCTAATTTCAGTCTTCCCTGACCAGAGCATGTTCTTCCACAAGTTTGCTGCTTCTGCTACTTGGTTTGTGGGAAATTGAAAAACGTAAAAGTAGGAAACTTTTTTGATTCATCTTTTATTTAGAAAGCGCAGCATTGTAATTTTCCACAGAACCAACCAAGACGGCATCAGTACTCCAGGGTGTTACTTCAGGCAAGTAGAAGAGCCATGGTGGAATGGTAATACGACTTCAAAGATACCTTCAAACTGTGCACCACACAGAGTGAACCGTCTGAAAAAACTGAAACAGTACCACATAATGATGCAGGAATGTGAGCCAAGAGGATCTGAATCAATGCGGGCTTTTTGTGATGAGAGTGAGATTTGGCAGCGGCTGGACTTCAGGATTCCCATGGAGTACACAGTTGTGGGTTGCCGGATGTTTGAACGTGCATGTGTGTGTCTTGTGAGAGAGAGAGAGGGAGCGCATTTCCACAAGCAATCAACAGGTTTCACTGGTGCAACAGGGCTGATGGGAGCTTGGAAGTGTGTGTGTTTGTGTCAGAGTGTGTGTGGGGCAAGCCTCGGTTGCACAATGACACAAGGCTCTCATTACTGTGTGCATCAATTAGCATACATTAAAAGAGATAATCTCCTTGAATTCACACAGGAGCTTCGTCTCATTTGTTGGACCAACATTTTTTTTTTCAGACGCTTGTCTTACAATGTCCTCTCTGGTTCTCTGCTTCCGGGTCTAAGCCGGCAGCCCCGAATGCACGTTTGTGGCTCATGAAAGAGAACGTGGCTTGTGCAGAAACAAGTAGATGGCAGCGGCGGAGTATGTACGGATGTGAACCGATGAGAAAACTCTTTGAAAGTCTGCAATGCCTTGCTTGTCTAACATTTCATTAGACAAGAAAACCTTGTCTAAGGTTATACAAGTTTATGGAATCTTATATGATATGCCAATTCAAAGTGGTTTATAACCCCAAAGAATGGCATGCATTGTCTGTTTCTCATTGCTGATACCTCAACTTCCCTTCCTTGCGTGTTCCTTGCAATCAATGACTTGCTCACTCCTTCTTGATGTGCCTGGTTCTTGGTCACCAGTGTCAAGCCTTTTTGACAATTTGGGCAAAACATAAAAAAAGTTCAAGATGTATGAGAAGGCTTTTTGTTAAATGAAAGACTCGTTGAAAGCTTTCAACAGTTAGAGTGGATGCTTAGGTGGGATGAAGGAAGATATCATGTTGCCATCTCCGAACTGCCTTTACATCCCATTGCGGCGGAAAACTGATTGTCTTTTTTCCGAGCTCTCAGGCTGCTATGGATTATGGATCCTGTGTTACTGCTGTCCGTTCTCTCTCTGATTGTGCAATCAAACCACAATTGGAACATGGTCAATAACTTGATGGTTCTTATTTGAGCTACCTGCAGAGGGCTTTCAAATAAGTCTGGTCTGGATTGTGAGTATTTAGTGTCTAAGATACTTTTCAAGGTGGTCAAGAATATATAATAGTGCAAAATTCTGTTTCTATCTGTGTGATCCTATGCATATTTGTATATGTGAATCCCTGCTGAAAGAACAATACAGTGGTATTGACCTCAAGCGGTGCCAATCGGAGGTCAGTATCCTGGACACCACCGGGCTGACAAACACTGGTCGATGTGTGTGTGTGTTTGTTGGCGAGAGTGGTGCTGTTGGCAGGTCAATGGCTGCTGTGGAGCAACACCTCTCCATGCGCTCATTAGTCCAGAACATATGTGGCGTTTGGATCAATACTGCAGCTAATTACTGCATACAGTGTGTACGCTTGAATGGTGGCAAACTTGGGCCAATATTTCAGAATTTTAAAAGCTTTACATCATGTTATAATGTTATTCCCTCATCAAAAACATACCTGGGGTGTTGCTTTAATTCTTTCATGCATGTTTTCAGAAATCCTTTAATCTCCATGGCAACCATTCAGGTCTGGTGGACCTAGCTCCACCTTTGAGACACAGCTTTTACCTTAGAACTGCAGTTTCCAGTCTTCTGAGCTTCTGCCTTACAAATCAGTGACTCCCCACTCAGCTCCTTCAGACTAGCCATCAGCAATTAGCAAACACCTGGTGGCATCTATTGAGCTCATTGTGGAAGTGCAACTCTGATAAAAATGTTAAAGGGCTAATATAGGAGCCATGTTGTGATGACTTCCTGAAGGTGGAGTGTCAGAAAGAACAAGATTGTTTTAAAGAGACAGAGACCCAATTTCAAGGCGCTAAATCACAAAGTAAAACTTCTAGTAAGTCAAATTTGATACATACACTATTTTTATAACAACCGAAGGCAACATAGTTACTTGATTGTCCCATAAAATGGCACTAAGTATCTAGAAAACACATACTGCCCCTTTAACGCAGACACAACTGAGGTTTGTGTAAATCTTCCCATAGCAGTAAGACATTGCTGAAAAGTTTGTATTTCTAGCCATATTAGGACTTTACATTGACTTCCAGTCACTTAATTAATTCCACTTGTACCTAACAAAAACACTTTTCTTAATCCCAACCATCTAAATTGGGGTCCACCATATTAGGATGGGGCTCATGACTAGGCCCCTACAACCTACCGGTTTTCAGTAGCTTAGTGAAAATACCAGAAAAGGTCCAAAAGAGGCAACGTAGATGAGTCCACATGCACACACACACACGCGCACACACACACATAAATTCACATCCTTAAGTGTGTGTTGGATCTGTAGTTTCAATGGTGGGTCTCCTTTGACTTCTTAAGATTATACTAATTACAAATCCAAAAGCTTTGGGCAAGGGAGCTGGTCCCTAAATGTCGGGCTCAGTCATAAGGGCCCCTTTGAGGATTAGAAGCTGGAGCACAAACACCCTGACCTCACCAGGCAGCCACTAATGGCATGGCTCCCATCTTTCTTCCTGAGAACATTGGGTGGTTTTGTGTTTCAGAGATTATTCATCCTCTGGGTTTGTCTCGTTGGGGTCTTTAACCCCTGGTAAAAATGGGGCTGCTAACCAGACTCCACCTTAAGCACAGCTAAGTCATCTGAGTCGGGGATTTGTCCTACAAACGTCCCACACCTCAGTCTCAAGGAGGATCTGCTCAAAGAACGGGAAATTAAGGGTCTGCTTGTAACATCTTGACCTGTAGCTAACTCACACTTTCCTCAGGCATGGCTTCTACATTTTCATGAATACATCATGTGCTTATCCTCCATTAATATGTCAAAACATTATGAATATGAGATTATATGGCACTTGCATTGTTGGAGGAAATGCATGGAAGGTGACTGCAGGCTGCAGTATTTGGATGAAAATGTTTAATGGTGGATCAACCGTGACGTCTGTGTTAATCACTTCTCTCCGGCCAACAGTCTGTGTCTGTAAAATATCAAATGAAAGACTTAAAACAGCTAGCATTGTTGTGCAAGAATATTATGCGACAGAGCAGAGAGTGCTACAGGACTTGTGCAAGGACAGTGAGACAGTGGCGAGGTGTGCAGTGGGAGCAACGCAACATCCCAAAGGAGGAGCAGGACTACGACACGGATGATCATTGACCTCCGTTTTCTTCTTCTTTGCAAATTTGATTTCAGTTAAAAATATTTCACTTAAAGGGAAGATAAAGTCGTTTTGGCTTCAAAATATTAGGTCTTAAATTTCTGTACATGTGTGCAACAAATCTGAAGGGAGGTCAGCAGGCAGAGTGAGGCATAAATAGAAAATGAGGTCTGCTCCTGAAGAAACCAGAAGAACTCTGTCAAATCTTTCACACATACATACATGAGGCAAAACACACTCTTTTGAGAAGAGGGTGAGCGCCTCATCCTTATATCTGTGTGTGCGTATGTGTGTGTGTATTTTTTTTATTCTCTTCTGACAGTGGAAGCCCACAGACAGAGATGGATTGCTGCAGGGCTCCATGGCAACCAGTGGGGCTATTCTCAATCACTGCAGCTGAAGGAGGGACCAAAGGAGTTAATCAGCAATGCACATTTTCACTCTGCCTTCACACACTGTCTTATTATGCAGACGTGTGGTTATTAAAACTTTGCTCTGCCTTCACATTGTTACCGCCTGAAAATGTGTTCCTCTGCTAGCTTGATTCTTGTCGGTTAACTTTAACTCTCTTTCATATCTGGAGAAAACAAGTGGAGATTGTTTTTACTTCACAAATAGTCTCTCTTTTTAAAATTAAACCTTAAAAAGTCAGTTTCTTAACTGTAAACATTGACTTTAAACTGTTTGTTTTTTTCCATCAAATTAAGAAAACGTGAGCCTCAACAACACCCGAGTCTAAATATTCACCAGTTCATTTCTCATTCTTACTTTTTTAAACATTAATTTGACTGTGGTTCCACTTCACTCTCCATGAAGACAATTTAAACATATATATATATATATATATATATATATATATATATATATATATAAGTATGTAAGTTTGTAGGTTGAATTAGCTGAAATGATTGCACAAAGAAAACATTTTGGTGAGTATTACGGTAATAAAGTAGCACATGAAATAGAACCATATTGAAATTAAGTTTTTCCATAAAAGTAGATAAATAAAATACATTTTTTTCCAAAGACAATTTAACAATTTTCATTTTCCGTGTTCAAGTTTGTTGTATAACAGCGACATCACCTGGCCCAACCCCGTAATTGCACGTATACGTCATTACCGCGCGACGAGGAAGTTGTTGTTGTCGCGCTTGTCCTTCACATCGTCCATCCACTTCATGTCGTTACAAAAGTGTACTATACGTTGTTTTTGAAGCAAAGCCTTTTTTAATGGAATAACGAAGGGAAGAGAAGAAGTGGGTCGGAACCGCGGAGTCGTCTTATTATTCTTTAGCTTTATATTCGGTAAGTAACAGCGAAGTTAAATTGACAGCTGATACTTTACCCTGTTATTACTTACTAATTAGTCAGCGGTGTAAGACATTTTTTTCAAAGTATATTTCATCAGAAAGTAGTCTAAAAATACATTCAAATTATGAAAGGAAAGGAAGCTGTTTTTCAACAACTTATCCACCAGCCAGCAGCTGTTCCTGAAGCATAGATTCTCCTAATCTCTCCTTCAGGTGATCAGGAATGGCAGCTCCAAACTCAGCGCAGAGGAAGGCCTGCTGGGACGCCAGGGATCAACTCTGGCAATGTTTGGACGACAACAATGACAAGATTCAATCCTGTCAGAAGTTCCAGGGAGACTTCGAGGCAAATTGTCCAGCTCAGTGGGTAAAGTTCCTCCTCGTTTTTAAATCATTCGTTGTACTCGTTGAAGCAGAAAGGCCCGAAAACTCAGGAAAAATTTGAAATTTCTTTAAAAATAAAACTAATCTGCACATGTTTCTCATCTTAAGAGATGAGTATCATAGTCTCATATTTTGACTTTATTCGTGTACTATTACTTTGTTGTACAACTTTCTTGTAATTAAAAAAAAAAAAGTTCTTATCCTGGCCCTGATACTCATGGAGATTAACCTTGTTTAAAGTTATTAAAAACTGCCAATTTCAAACCAAACTTCATGAAGGTATGTTGGTGTGAATCATTTATCTTTGAATGGACAGATGAACCAGAAATCTGTGAGATCCAAATTGATCACAATTTGAATCGTTTTCTGTGCAAAAGACTCAAACTACACTTCGACAAAGTTTGAAGACTGGTCTAATGCACAGAATGACTTTGTTGCAGAATTGGGGCTTTTGTTTCGTTTCTTTAATTTTTTCCCCTCCTCTCTTCCTGGCAGGTGAAATATTTCACCAAGAGGAGAGACTTCCTGAAGTACAAAGATAAGATGCAGAGAGAAGGCTTCACACCTGCTGAAGGCCCACAAGTAAACTCCTAACTCCTTCCAAACCGGAGCTCTGGAGACTGACTTTTAATCACATGAGCTCCTGAGTGGAGTTTTCATTGTGAATAGGAAAACGCTTCACCTTTACCATTATTTATGTGATCAGATGAACCTGGCAAGTTATTGGACATTGTTACTTAGAAATACAAAAATTATGTCTGTTTTTTTTTTGTTGTTGTTGCAAATTGGTCTTAATGGAAGATTAAGATCAATGGAATCCACCCAGAAGTGTCTGTGTGGTTTGTATGACCGGATCAACTGTTCCTGTCGCAGAGCATTCAAGATTCTGGATTATGACCACTCTGAAAAAACATCAACATTCGCTAATGTTTTGGAATAAATCAAACCAACAGGGTGATTTTGATGGCTTTTATTGTCGTACATGTATATTGTTTTCCAACTCTAGCGCAACAGGTGGATATGAATACCCTTTCAGAATAAAACAGCTGATTTGAGAATGTTACAGGTCATTAGAAACGGGCAAAAAAAAAACAACCAAAAAACACATTGTGTTTATATTACAAATCAGTGTGTATTTACAAAGGAGTGTGGCCTCCGGGTCAAAAGGCTTCAATGAAACTGTTGCTAGAAACAGGGTTCCTACAGTCTGGAGTTTGATACAAGTTCTTTGTATCAAATGTATCCGTCAATCGGTCCATCCGTTTGTAAGGCCGCCCCTCTGTCCGGTCAGTCCAACTGTCCATTCGTCCTACTTTTTATACACTAATCCACTCATCACTGCATCAATCATCCCTCTACTCATTCTCCAGTCAACCCTTCTGTCCATCATCCTTTACATTTAGAAGTTTGCATAGCTTGATCTTTGGAAGCACCACATTTTGAAGTTAACCTGATCAAGAACTTTGAAGATGAAATTTTGACCCCGTAAATGTGTAGGAACCCTGTAGAAATCTACAAACCACAAAGAAAACTGTAGATCTATTCAGACTTCTAAGGTCTCTGGCAGTACAAAACGGTCACAAATTACATCTTAACTTTTTGTATTTTCTGTGAAAATATAAAGCATATATTTTTGCATTTCTGCTCAGTACAGTGGAGGATTTTGGATAAACCTGACTTTGCCACCACGAGAGTTATTGTGATTTGATGATTGATTAAACTATTGCACAATACAGTCCCGTACTCAGTTTTCAGTCAACCAGAGCTGAATGGACTCTGCTGCCTCACATAAATTCTCCTCTTGCACATAATCCAGTCATGTACTTCCTACACCTAAAAAAAAAAACGGAGCTAATCCAACAACCGAATACTTCTCCCTGCGATCTTAAGGACATTGAGATCTGACGAGACAAAAATACAAAAAAAAAAAACGCAAAGTTTCAAGATCATTTTTAGCAAAGAATACACGATCACTGCTGGAAATACATTCTTGTCGTAAAGCAGAGTAAACAATGTGCAAGATTTAAGAAAGTAAGCCATGAACAGAGGTTCTCCAACATCACAGCAAGGCACCAATGAGCTTATAAGGTTTGAATCCAGGTTTAAAACAGGCAGCCAACATTTTGGCATTACAGGCTTGATACAGAAAAAGCATTTCAAGACTTTTTGAATAAAACAGGCAGCAAAAAAAATAATTTGGGTATTTGGTGCAAAGCAAAGCTCCAAATCAGCTTTAGAACCTCTGCAAAAAATGATTGGTCACATGGAAGTCCTGGCTTGTGTGGCGAATTAGATTTTTATCCACAGATACAAACAGAAGAAAAACATTTGGTTATATGTACAGTAGGTTGACTACACTCACTGGGAAAAACGGTCGAGATCCAAATCAAGCATTCAGAAGGAATTGGACATAATTTGCACAGATTAGTTATGGTCAAAACAGGGGTCAGCTACCTTTACATTTCTGCCTTCAGTCCAGCTAAATGAAACTCAGATCTGCAAGTGTAACATGACCTTTAGAAAAAAAAAAAAGACATTTTATCATTTTTGGAAATGATAAAAGGTTTTAATGCGATGCTCAGGAGTTGTGCAGCAGATGTCACAGTCAACAGCGGGAAAATGGGAGGTTTGTCCCATCAGACCGCCAATTCCCGAAGTGAGACACACACAGAAAAACAAAACTTGTAAAAGTGCATTCAGGCTTAGTGTGTCTCTTAAGACTGCGGGGACCACAGCTTAAAATTTGTTTTTGTTGTTTTAAGATAAAGAGAATAAAATAAATTAAAAAAAACATTTCCAAAAAGAGAACGGACACAGAAAATTATGGCTACCTTTAGTGTCATTCTGTTATGAAAATTTAGTGCTGGAAAAAAACCCGGAAACTATTAAAGCCTTATTTAAAACAATATAAATAAAAAATGTAAAAGTTGGTTCTTCATTATTTTACCCAAAGTATTAAGAGCCATTGTGGAAGGCCCAAATAACTACTTTCGACTCCAGAGCCCCAGGTTGCAGTTCCCTGAGTGGAGAAGTGGCAGCATCACAATTTGAGCGATGGTGCTACAGGCAGTTAACAGTCAAAATGGTGAGTGAAGATCACTGGAGTAGGAATGAAAAAATTATAGTACAATTTCTGAAGGTTAACTCCAATAATAACAGCTCCAGGTTTTTGGATTGTCCATCAAAAGCAGCATCTCCATCTTCTCAGTAAAGCAGACATTTGGACTACAAAAGAGCACCAGATGCTAAATATTTCATGTAGGTTTTTTTTTTTTTAAGTTCATACAGTTAGCATCACTCTCCAGCAGCTTAGATCATTTTGAGCTGGGTGTTTGCATTCACCAGTGTTAATTTAGTCTGTTAAACTTGTTGCTAGCTTCTCATATCTTTGCTAGCATTGTAGCTGGAGTTCTGCTAATAGCAGGACTGTCTGAAGTTAAAAATGTCAATAAAGCTAAGACAGAAGTTCTTGTAGCTCTTCACAATGAGAGGCTAACAAATAATTCATTCAGATCTTAAAAAAATAAAGATTTTAACCTCATTAAAGAGCTTACAGTACCTTCTCCAGTCATAAACACACATGAATCAGAATGCTGGTGTGTTGTCGGTTCAGACTTAACTAGCCCGTATCATGATTTCATCAAGGTAAAAACTGTTGCTGTAGTTGCATCTGTACACCAGACACAGATGATGCTTTGTAGACCCACTAAAAGCCATTAATGTTAGCTTATGCTAACAGTTGAACATTCTAGCCCACTTGCTGCAGCCCCATCGGCTTTTGCGGACAAATTATGTTTTCTAGATGTACCAGAGTGTTAAAAGTCAAACTAGAAACATACCCGCCACAGTATTACGCCAGTTTCTTCTGAGTTCTTCCTCTTTATCGTTTTAATCAGTGAGTGTATTGATACAGTACATCCATAACCACAGCAGAAACCTCTCTTTAACCAGTTGACCAGTGCGCTACGGTAACATGCACATTTAGGTAAAGCATAAAAGAGGTTTCTAACAAGTGGCTAGTTAGCTTATTTCTATTGTAACGTTTACTGCAAGCGTACAAAGAATACATTAAGACACATTTCATTCATGGTGAATTTGTAAAAAACAAAAAACAAAAAAAAAACCTCTTAGTTCTGTTATATACTTGAAATGTCAATACAATATGAGCTCTTAATTTGCCTCAATTAGCTTTCTAATTTGTATTGCTTCTTTGAAAGAATCAGTGTATTTGTAGCAACAGAGGTAAAGTTAATTAGTTGAAGTTCGTTTTTTCCCCAGAGCACAATATGGCCAACTTAAACTGAAGCTAATATTCTAGCTAAGCTAGCTTTCCACCATTTTCTCTCGTCTTCCTTTCCATAAGGCCAGTTCTCTCAGTCTCTTTCTGGGGAAGACGATCCTTTTGACTCTCATGTTTTGTTTGTCTTCTTCATAAAAACCTCTTCTCTTTCTAATTTTACCCCCTGCCCCAACCCCTTCCTATTGGCTCGGGCCTTAGCCCGGCGTTGGTTATAAGCCTCCGGTGACGTTTCTGGCCACTGCCCAGGCGGGGAACTCGGTCAGGTTGAAAAGCGGGACGCCCCAAGTGGTGATGGCTAACATAACCACCGCCACGCCGATCAGGTTCACTCCAAACCCTGCTTTCACCTGGACAGGAAGATTAAAATAAACACACATTAACAGACCTGAAAAGACTTGGGGGGGGGGGGGGAGAAAGAAAAGGAAAATTCAGTTCTAAAAGAAAATAAAACATTATTCTTTGATTGTAGACAAAACAAATCTGAAGCCGTTTGATGCTGCAGGTGCACAGAGTGTGTGTCAGAGACCTACCATGTCGCTGATCTTCACGTGGCCGTAACTGAAGACGATGGCGTTGGGGGGGTTCCCCACTGGAAGCATGACCCCAAATGACACGCACATGGTGGACGGGATCAGAGTGTGGAGGGGGTTGATGAGCAGGGTCTCCGACTGGACCATGGGGTGAAGAAGAACAACACGGATACAGTGAGGGAACATTACAAGGGGGTAGCGAGGGAGAGTGGCTTTTGGTTGGAGATCAAACGGAGCGAAGGAAGACGAGGCAAGGTGGCGATTACAACATGAGGATGAAAAATAATTTAAGAATGAAGATGAAAAAAATTAAGAGAGGAAGCTTTTGTATTTTAAGTTGAATTCACAACAGCAGTTATGAGAGTTCTACAAATATTTGGGATTGTTTATTTAAATGCATGGTGGTTGAGTTTTACTGAACATTATCTAGTGCAACCGAGATGCAATCTAATAAAAACCACTAATATTTCATCAATTATGTTGTGTTTTCTATATTATTACTTTGGGGGGAGGGGATACTCCTAGCTAGCTTGCTAGCTTAGCCGTGTCTCATTTGTGTATTAAGCCATCAGTCGAAGCATGGCTGCCTCCGACTACCAGTACTTTGTCTTTCCTGTTCAAAGTTCTCTTCACTCCCTGCTAGTGTGTTAACTGTGTCCCTTCTCCAGATAAATCAATCAATAGATGACAACGTTGATGGAGCCATCACTGATATTAACTTTGTTTACTCTCCGTCTTTCTATAGACTGTACTCCTAACGCAGCAGTTCTACGTTTAGCCGCGTTTCTTTTATTATCGGCGAAAGTCAAGGACTTAATGTAAGATTTTCATGGCATGCGAAGTGGAGGAGCCGACATACGTACCAGAGCTGACAGGATGGGCAGGAAGACTGTAAGGGTTGCTGGGTTGGAGGCAAACTCTGTGACCGCCGACACCAGGAGGCAGGCCAGCAGGGTGACGGCCCAGGGCGGAAGGCCACTCATGGGCTCCAGCTGCCTGCCGATCCACACCGACAGGCCTGACACCTGCAGGTACGCTTCATTAAACAACCCCACAAATACAAATCTGACCAATCGGAAAAAAATAAACATAAAAACCAGGCTGACTGATGGGCAGAGCTACATGTTGTTGTGTTGCCACATCAGCAGAGTCGTGTGTATTCTACCTTGCAGCCAGCGGCGAGCGCGTATCCTCCTCCCACCAGGATCACAATCTCCCACGGCATCAACCTCTGGAAATCTTTCCAAGTGATCATGGGGGCGAGAGGGTCAGGATCTGAACTGTCTTCTGAAGGTAAAAGAAAAAACACAAGAAACAAAACAATCATAATACAAAGCTGATTACCTTGTTTGTTTTTTTAACATATTTGTGTAATTCTTTGCTGTATATTCTTAAGGAAATTCTACTGCATGATTTACCACTGGATAAAAATTAAAAAAAAAATGTTTTTACTGTTGCACGGGAACCGACCAGAGTTACTGCAGCTGGGTGAGGATGATGAGAAGGGACGCCTGGCGGGGATGAGGAAGAGCAGGAAGCCCAGGAGGACGGACACGGTTGCATCAGTCCTGTAGCCCTTCCTGGAGACAAAAAACAGAAATCCATCGTATCCCGCAACGGTGCTAATGGGATTGTTTTTGCCGCGGACGGTGGAGCCACTGAGTACGACCACAGGAGGAGTGTTTGCAACGTCCGGAGCCGCTTACTTCTCAAAGAGCGACGTCCAGCCGGGCACGAAGCCAGGCTCTCTGGTGAACCACAGCAGAGTCATCAGGATGAAGAAAATCCCAGTCACCACCTCAGGGTAGCTGCAACGCAACCACAAAAAGCATGTCAGCAACTGTTGCACCAGTGGGCATCGCAGCTACGTGTGGGTGTGACCTCAGACGAGTTGGATACAGACGTTTCAACTCCTCCATTTCAAAATTTGTCACCTTTACAACTAGAAAAGTGACTAAATATTAAAAACAGTATTTTTTGCGAAAGAGCAGCATAAAGTAGTGCAAACAAAATGCAGCATTTTAGCTTAGTTAGTATTACTAACGTTATTTCTATTTGCTAAATTCCAGGAAGCTGCCAGTTTTTAGAGAATTGTTGTTACTTTTGTTGAATTCAAACATTCATCTGGTTGGCATCAATGTGCATCACTGTACAAAATGTTTGCCTTGGGTCAAACCTGTTGGGTTTCTCTCCACAAACGTCTGACAGGTTAACTGACTCATCTGAGTTAACTGTGTTTTAAGGTCACACCTGAAACCAACTGCTTTCTCGTTCTTGTCATTTTTGTAATTTTAAGTTGGCTGAAACAAGAAAGGTTTAGTTGGATTTAACTTCTGATTACAAATGTGTCCAAACCTTTGTCAATATTCTGCTAATGTCAAAGAAATTGATGGTATATTTGCAGTGGAATGAAAAAAATGAAAAAAATAAAATAAAATAAAAACAATTAAAATCTCATGTGAATAAGTTTGTTCACGCGAGAAGTCATTAAAAAAAAAAAAAAAACAAGCTTCTCCACGATCCTCCAGCTACTTCCTGCCGTCTTCTTTTTGTGGAGTCACATGATCGTCCGGTTTTTGATCATGTGACTCGTGTGTGACGAGAAAAAAGTGTTTCAATTGATGTTTTGCAAAATAAAAGAATTTTGATACGGGGGGAAAGAAAAAAATGTCATCCTTTTTAATCAGAAAAGTTTTTTTTAATTGCCATGTTTCTATTAAGCAAATTTGTTTATTTCAAAATGTCAAAATGCACAATTATATGGTTAATGGAAACACAGTTAGTGAGAAAAAAAAAGAAAAAAAAAAGGTAAAATCCAGCTGGAGGATCTGCAGCCAGACTTGAAAATTGAGTTTTTAAAAAAACGATTAACTTTAACATTTCTGAGCTACTTTGTGTCGATGCGTCACTTAAGAAAAAAAATCCCAATAAAAACAAAGAGTTTTCCACACGAGCCTCTCCAGTCACCTGATGGGGCCCAGCTTGGCATACTCCTCCTGGATCCGTTGCTCAGACATCATTTCTCTCCTGGTTTTGCGCTTCTTACTCAGCGAACACGTCTCTCTGAAGCTGAGCACAGAGACACCAACGGATTACCGTAATGATAAGATGCGAGCGTGAGCAATAATAATAATCACACACCTGGATGTGTCTGACGGTGAGAAGAAGAAAAAAAAAAGAAAAGAAAGAACGAACGAAAGAAATAAGTGCACTCACTTGCAGCCGAGGAAGAGGAAGTGCAGCCAGAGCCAGGTGAGCACCAGCATGATGATGGCTATGGGGAAGCTGAAGATGAACCAGGTGCCGAAGTTGATCACCTTCGCCTCCGGATAACGACTGGAAAAGGGGAAAAAATCCAGACAGAGAGACGGGGAGGGAACTTTTAGCGTTTTAAAAGGACAGATGAGAACAAGCAGGTGTGTCATAGTTCAGCTGATATGAATGAAAAACAACAATCAAACCCCGAACCGTTTCCAAACCGAGTCATGCCTGTTGAGACTGACAGCTGATGGTCTCACAAATCTGAGCTCCAACAGGTGGAGTCAGTCACTGGAAACCCGCAGACTCAACCGGATTTATTTCACTGAAACCAAAACTTCAGTTGGATTCAAACAAATTTGGTTCTGTCAAGCAGCTATGAGCGGTAGCTACGCTACCTGTGGTTAATAATATTTCCAGCATCTTCACTTATAGTCAGGACAAAACAAGGACAAGAGTGATCTTAAAATAGAATATTTCGATTAATTAATTAGTAGATTTTAATGCGCTACAAATTTTAGCATGAATGATTTTTATTTTTTTGCACACAAAAGTTCCAAGCGGAACCTTTGTATTCGCATGTTTCTGGTACATCCGTAAATCTGACACACACACAACATCCGCTGAAAGCGACAGATGTTCCCCTAGGTCCACTATGGCTGAATGTTTGCTTCTAAAAACAGTATGATTGGATGCTAAAAAAACAACTACTGTTGTGCTAAAAGGAGTTAGCTTAGCAGCGAAGGTATTAGCATCTCAATGCTAAACATGTAGCCAGCACAGACATCCCTAACACTAGGAATGTCCAAAGTCCACATTCTTAAAGAAGTTCCTGAAACATTTCCTGAACATCACCTTGCACCAATCGGACTGAGTGACATGATTAAATTGACGGCGCAACACATGGCTACACAGTGGTGGCAGCATCATGCTCTGGGGTTGCTTGTCTTTGAATGTACCTCAGATATTTAATCAAGGTTTTCTCAATAGCTCGGTTTTAGAAAGCTGAAAATAAAGGTGATATCCTCACAATCTGATCGCTTTGGAGAACTTTTGGAAGACAGAGTGTCTGAATATGACTAACTCGATAAAGTTTTACTTTAAGCATTTCTGCAACCACGTCATTTTTTTTTTTTTTTTTGGTAAAAAAAAACGGGACTTGCATACTTTTGAGAGCTACTGCACTCTCTACATGTCCATCACGAGTCTTGTTTTTAGCAAAGAGTTAACTTTCTCAAAAGAGTCCCGTTCCCGGAAATATACTCTTAGGATTACCTCTGCCACACACATACACACGCACACACAGATGCACACGCGCGCACACACACACACACACAAAAACCCAACTGCGCGGAAAATAAAAGGCATGACCTTTGCCCACTGAGCTTTGACATGAAGGAGGCCATTCTGTGGGGCTTAAAAACACTGGCTGGAGAAAATCGGCTCTATTAGGACTGTACAGGCTGATTAGTTTGATTTAAGACCCTTCAAGGCCCCCGGGTTCTGATTTCACACAGAGTGTTAAATCACAGCAACTCGGTCGCCAAACCTAGCTGCACATGTGTTCAAAACCAAATGGAATGATGGCATCTCTGGTCATTATGAGCTGCTGTTACTGTATCAGCTTCTGTATTTGTTTAGCTTCCATGTTGTTTGAAATATCAGGAAATTTTGGATAAAACTCTGTTGGCATCAGAATAAAAGCAAATTATCGTTTTGCTCTCTCAACAAAATGAATTAGGAAAAAAAAACATTTGGCTAAAAAAAAATGTCTTAAGATTTTGAATTACACGTTAAATCCAAATTTATAAAAAAAAGAAAAATCAAAACCTGCTATTGGGCTAACGTGACAAACATTAAGCTAAGTAGATCTTTTGAGGTTAAGAATAAAAATTCCCCACACCTGTTACCAGTTAAATTGCTAATATTGAAGAAAATCAATACTCACTGTCTGGGTTTTTTCCCAGTTAAAGCTCAATTGTTGATTTCTGAAACCTCCACCTGCTCACCACAGTGGTCTAAGGTTGTTTTAGCCTCTGAATATGAAGCTGTAAACAGAACATGGACCTACGTGTTGAACTGCTCGGCGAAGATGAGGTTGGTGGACGTCCCGGTGATGGTGATCAGTCCTCCGATGGTCGCTGCGTAGGTGATGCTGAGCGACAGGCATTTGCAGATCATGTGGTCCCTCTTCGTGGGGTACTGGGAGTCTCTTCTGGCTCTCACTCGCTTCACGTTTGGGATCTCTACGGCAACCTAGAGAGGAATCACAGGAATGCTTCGTCTGAATTCAACACTATGATTTGCGGGGAGCCGCTGAGAGAGTTTAAAGGGGCTGCGTTTTGTCCCCGACCTGCGGTAGGTGTCCATTGCTCTGTCGAACAAAAGTCTTGTTCAAGACGGGCTGAAGACCGAAACCGTTCGGCTCACCCGCCTGACCCTAAGGGGCGAAAGGAGAAATTTGTGTATGTTATTATTTGCATCTTTTTATCCATTGATCATTTCATATTTCCCACGTTTTGTCAAATTACAATCACAAACTTTACAGGATAGGTGAACACAAAGTTCATTGGGAGGTGAAAGGAAAAAGGATGAATAGGTGGTTTGTAAATTTGCATTCTAATAGAAAAGTGGAGTGTATTTGCATTCAGTCACCTTTGCTCTAAAACCCCAAAACTAAAATCTGGGTCAGCCATTTGTGGGCAGAAGTCGCCTCATTAGTAGATCATGTGTATTTAGTGAAAAAAACGTATGTGTCACAATAAGAAAAAACATTTAAAATCCATCTTTAGCGTGAAATATGGCTGGTGGCAACGTCACGCTGTGTGGAGGATATTCACTTAAACTGACAATGACCGGTTCTAAACAATGAGAATTTTTTTTTTCCTCTAAAGTTTTGCCTTAGGACCAAAGCAGCAAACAAACTAAGCTGTTGCTTAGGGCCTCCCATAGATGCTTGAATTCTAACAAACAATAGATCTAAAAGTCTTAGATTTGTTTATTGGGAATGGGAATACTGTTAGAATTAATTTGATATTTTCTGTAAGAATTAAAGGAATTGGGAAGTTTGCTTTGCAAACCTGAAAAATTATTTTTTGTTGTTAAATTCTTGCATTGGCAGTCACAATTTAAATTTTGGTGGTTTTTTTGTTAATAGGTAGAGGGGCCCCACATCAACTCCTGCCTAAGGCCCCACGCCCCCAGGGCCCGCTCCTGTTTAGGCCAGTAATTTAAATGCATGTTTTTTTTTTTATTTCACAAAAAAACATGTAAGTTTGTGGTTGTAATATAAGAAGAAGGTTTAAAAGCGATGAAACATTTTTTCAGTGCACTTCACTTAAACTGTATTTTACCTCAGTGAAGGAACAGAGATCCTGTTTGGGGCGTTCATTCCTTGAAAGGAGAAAAAAAACAAACAGTTAATCTGAATCAGATTCACAAACAAAATGCAAACACAAAATGGTGCAATGAAAAGAAGTCTGTCAAATTTACTACACACTTAAATACAGCCAGAATTGTTTTATGATGAAGACAATAAAAGTTTGGAAAACACATAAAATATGAACGAACGTACAGAAATGTATTTAAATAGTTTTTATGTTGTCATTTAAAAATGAATTAAGTTTCAACATATTTAACACCAGAAGACGGATGGGGGGGAAAAAATGCATGTCCAAAGTTAATTATGAGAAGACAGCAAATTAATATTGATTAAAGTAAATTTCATCATTGAAGATGTAATAAGTGACTAATAACACTTCAGAGTAGGAACCAAAATATGCAGAAAGCCAATATATAATATAACATAATATAATATAATATAATATAATATAATATGTTAGTACTCTGGGGTAAGAAAACTGACTTACTTAGAGAGATAACATGTCTTGTAAAAGAGATTTTGTAAAAGTTACAGGAATTATTTGTTAAAGTAATTGTGGAAAAAAATTGGTATGATTGTCAAACACAGCAGAAAATGGCTAAAATATATTTTTAAACAGCACTATAAATCGACATAAAAAAAATCAATTATGATGGAAAATTTGGCTGTAAACAAAAGGGGACTTACACACATTACCCTGTGGTCCACCTTAAATAATTTTAATTGAAAAAAAAAAAAAAATCAAATTTTGTGCTTGTAGTATCCACCACACAATATTCATCTTTACTATAACGGAACCCAAATAAAGCCTTGTAGAAATTCAAATGTATTAGCATAAAGATGTTGACAGTGAAAGAAGAAAGTTGATTAATAAGGCAGTAAGGAGAAAGACATATAAAACAAGACTCTACACACATACTGTTCATTCTGATAGAGCAGCTCTAGCTGGTTCTTGTCCAGGTTCTCCTCTTTGGTTGAAACAGCTGCAATATAACAGACAAAAATTATCAAAAGGTTCTCTGCATCACATTTACCTTCACACAGCTAAAAAAAAACAAAAAAAAAAACAATTTGTTAGTCCTGAAAGTTTTCTTCCGATTTGTTTTTGTTCACATCTATTTGACAATGTTTCATCATTAAATGTCAGACAAAAATAACCAGGGTTATTTTCATTCAAAACTACATTTTCAATTGATTATTTCATCAATTGCTGTCAATTGCAGTAAAGTTGTTTTAGAAAACGGTTTCCAAAAAAAAAAAAAAAAAAAACTTTACTCAAAGAAGTGTAGAATCAGAAAACCATAGAAACTGTCTGTCCAGTTCGCTTCCTGCTTCTGGTCTCTGGTCCACTTGGCGTTCACGTATGAATTCGAACCACAACACAGTTTACTTTAAACGAACTGAGACCTGCGTTTGTAACGGTCTAGAGTTAATTTTTTTGGTCCGCATCAGAATTCAATTGTGCATTCACACCTGGGCAAACGAACCGGACCCTCTAGAAAAATGAGCTGGAGTTTGGATAAAGCAAACTAAACAGGGTTCATTTTCTAGTATTCACTCAGATTATCTTATATTAAAATTAACTTGAAGATCTAAAACATCAGCAAAAGCTTAAATTTGTCAGGGGTTACATTTTTCACTGCGCTACATGCAGTGATCTGGAAACAAACCCTTGGACCCACCGCTGTCCTCTTCTGGAGCATCGCCGCTCTCCGAGTAGTCGTGGGAGTCGGCCAGGCCAGTGCAGATGAGCTGCTGCAGGACGGCCTCGGCGATGGGCATCACCATGGCGGTGGTGGACGTGTTGCTGAGCCACATGGACAGGAAGACCGTGCAGCACATGAAGCCCAGCACCAGCCTGAGTCACAAAGTAAAAATCATCTTCTGTTTTTTTTTTTTTTTTACTATTTAGATGAACATACATGGGACTTTCACAAATGTTTTCACTTTGTAATTTAACGGCTTGAAATCTGGCCTCTGTCTCTTTAAGAAGCTCCTGCCCTTTCTGAAACTCTGCCTTCAGAAAGTCATCACAACATGGCTCCTCTATTAACACTTTAACAATGTTTTTTACTAGTGTTTCACAGAGAAATAGTTCCTATAATGAGCACAGTGAATGTGGAGTTCACATTCACTGTGCACCAAGTGTTTGCTAATTGCTACTGGCTAGTCTTAAGGGACTGAGTGGGGGAGGGTTGCTCTGTGAGACAGAGGCTAGGAAGCTTGGAAATGAGTGAGAAATCCTTTAATCTCCCAAGGCAAACACTCCAGTTATGTTTTTGATGAAGGAATAACTTTATAACATGACGTAACGCTAACAAAATGTAACATAATGCTGAACCTTTAAAAAATCTTAAGTATATGACTCACATCCCAGGTTTTGCCCCTGCAATCATCACCATGCGCAGTGCGATGCGTTTGTGCAGGTTCCATTTCTCTATGGAGGCGGCCAGGCAGATGACTCCCATCAGCAGCAGAGTGGTGTCCTTACAGTACTCTGCTGCTACCTAAACACACACAAACACAACAAATGGTCATGTTAGTTCCCAAAGCAGACACTATTGAAACTGAATTATGGACCAAAACATCTAGCAGAGGAAATCTAAGGAAGCTTGAGAAGGAGTCTTTCAGCATTTCCTTCCCTTGTTGGGGTCGACAGTTACAATTTACTGTTGTTCTTGTTAATCTGCTCCACTTCCCACCCACTGTGTTCATGGCACCCAGCGCTGTGTAAGCCCCCATCGCCTAACCTCTCCCCTAAAAAAAAAAAAAACAGACGGATTTTCTCCAGTCGAGTTGCATCAAATCACAAACTTTTTATGTTTGTTCTGTTCACTTCAAAGGGTACCAAAAGCACCGACCTTCACATGGAATATGTAAATATGTAAATGTGGAAAAAAAGTACACCCCCTCTGAAGTGGAGGCATTTTATGTGAGGTGCATAAAAGTACTTTTAGGGCAAGTGCTATAAAAAAAAACATGGCTGAGCATTGAAGCTAGCTAGCTATCTAGGCAGCAACTAGTTAGCTAGTTGCCGCCAAGCTAACTGGTTGTTTCACAGTTTTTCAACAAATTTGGACCCACTCTACTTTAAAATCTAAAAAAAGACTAATCCAATCTGAACTGAACAGAGAACTTTAATATGACTAATTAATTCCTGCGGCCGAAGTATTTACCTCAGCTAAAGAGCTGAATGTTAACAATGAAGAGACAAAAAGACCAACTGCTCTTGATTAGCCATCTTAAAACAGTGTTTGAGGAGGCACATTTATGGTTTTAAAATGTCTGACTAAACATCTTAAACTGGTTTATGTTTCTGATAACTTAATAAAGATAAACAGCTAATGTTTTGCTTTCACAGTGGTGATTTTTATCCCATGAAAGTTGGAGGTGAAACAGCGCTCTGCTAAGAATACCATTAAAAATATTAAGATGAAGTGGTTTCTAAATGAGAAAAGGACAAAAACAAAAAAAATCAAAAACAATGCAAAAAAGAAAAAAAAATATGAATACGATTCACTAATGCACTACTGGTGCCGTTCCAAGACTCAGGTCAAGAGAAGAATTGCTTTGTACTGGCAGAGAGGAGGAGTTTATGTATTTATTTTACTAATAATCTGGCACACTTTCAATAAAATTCAAATTCAAAAATACTTTATTCATCTCAGAGGGAAATTAAACGTTATTGTAAGAAGGATTTCCTGCAGCTCACAGTATTACAGCGGTTTGGAAGAAGCTTCTGACTGAATACACTTTTGTTGTTTAATTCTTCATTACAAAAATTCATTCAGATGTTTCACAGTCGTCCCCAAAACAGAAATAACTTTGTTTTTTTGTTTTTTAGCTTTTTTAAGTCCTTGGTTCTGATATTGCTGCCACAATAGACTTAAAGAAGATATACAGGCTCTTGCTAAATGTAAATCAACAGGTTTTCTTATGGCATAAGATTTACTTTTTGTGTCAAGTTTAAATTAATTAGGAAAATTATTACAGTTAAGCTGCAATACAGATTAAAAAAACCCCTAACAATTGTAAATGATTTCCAAAAAAAAACCTAACTAAATTAAATAAATACATAATTAATTAAATGTACCATAAAATGAAAAAAAAAAGCTGAATTAAATTCACAGACTTTGTATATATAGACTTTGTTTAAATATTTAAAAAGTTATTAAATGTATGAATTCGTCGACTTTATCAGTCATTTCCTCTGGTTGATGGTCATAGCCCCGCCCACAGCCCCTCCCATAGCCCCGCCTCTCGGTGTGAATGAGCAAGTTTGACCAATGGTGATTTCACATTGATGCAGCAACAACAGGAACCATAAAATAATGAACTACATATTTAATTACCTATAGGCATTTTAATGATTTAATGACGTAAAAATATTGTCTATTAGATAAATTCATTAAACATCTATGTATTTCATGGTATATTTAATTAATAATTTAATGGCATTTTGGTTCAATTTTGTCCCTCTGTATTGATTTGCCCAGCTATATGGTTTAGCTTAATATTGACTTAGTTGCAGTATGCCAAAAGAGAGAATCTACCGACATGATTTTTCTTCTTCTCAGGTGGACAAGCTATGCAAAGTGAGACATGCTTGGCTTCTCCAGCTAAAACTTGCCACCATTTCAGTCTACATGTTGACTTATTCAAGCGAAACAGAACAAAAGAATTGTAAAAGGTCAGAAAGGATTATAACATATTCTCGCTGTACTTTTAATACGGCCCTCTAAACCGCAGAAACCTCCAAGAACCAGGTCAACGTTCCCACTAATGCTACTCCAAACGGCAGGTAAAGTTTTACTTTTAACCTGTGGAGCTCAAGCGTGGAGGACAATAAAAGTCTTGAAATGTTGCATAAATCTCTGCTAGCATATTTTTAGAAAATACTTGAAAGAGATTACAGTGTAGCAGTGCAGCGGCAGATTCTTTACCGCTTGGACAGAGCCAGCCCGGTCACACGAGGCGTTCGGATCAAAGTTTATGTAAGGCTAATGAGGAACGTGAAGAGCAAAGGAAAGTTGGTATGAGAACAACTAACATGATCATTTTTTCCATGCTTATGTAATAAGGGTTAGTTAGTTAGGATGATGGGCTCTAGGTCAGTCAGATAAATATGCAAAAGAAAATTCTATCGGTGCCCATCCTTCCTTCCTAGTGTCCTACCTTTCCTCCTATTATTCTTCCATGCTTCCTAGAGTTCTTCTTCCCTTCCTAAAGTCACTCCTCTCCTCCTAGTATCCTTCATATTGTCTTTCCTAAAGTCTGAGGATTGACATTTTCTTTTCTACAAAAGCCTGAGAGAAAAGAAGCTCCAGCTGGTTGGTGTGGGGGGATCATGAGCCTCACCTCGCTGGACTTGAGAACGCCAAAGAGAGGATAGAGGAATGCCGGGACCAGGGCAGCGGCCCCCAGGGGCACGGCCTCCGAGACCCAGTAGACCGCCGTCACCATCAACACGTACGCACAGCACGCTTCCTGCAAACCACAAAACAATCCATTAGATCCACGTAGAAACAGCAGTTACTGTAGCGTTTAGCAACATTAAGAGTAGAGAAGTCAGAGTTCCTCATCTACGCTGAAGATTTAAAATTATTATTTCATTGCAATATTACAGATGCCAACATGCAGGCTTCTCATATGCTAGCATTTTAAACATTAGCATGGGTGTTAGCAGGCTCTTTGGCCCTAAAAACTGACTCCACGTCTCATATTTTTAAGATGCCAGGATTACCAATTACTCCCATCAATCTTGCAGAAAACGGTTGTTCTTGATTAAATAAATGATAACAGCTTAAGTAAATGCTTTATTTAGTGTTAAACATGAGCAGTCACATGCTTTGTGAGCTTGAAGTTTTATGTAAGAGAAGCGTTGAGTGTAATATCTCGATGTGGCTCAATTAATCTTAAATGAATAAACTCAGGGGAGGAGGAACATGTCCGGCATGTCCAGACCTGTTTGAATCGTACACCTTCTCTAAGCAACGACTCCAAAGAAAATCACAGCATAAATCACTTGTTAGGAGCAAGACAACGTTTGAAATGTTCAGTTCAGAAATCTGAGACATGTTAGGTGAAGATAAAAGAGAAAGATATTTCCAAGTATCCTTCTCTGTAACAACACAGAAGCATGGCAGTAGAGTCGTTATGGTCTGGGTTCGCTTTGGGACGCACTAATCAGCAAGGGTTATCTGCTGTTGTTCCTTGATCGTCTCCTAGCTTCAATTCCTTTCCTCTGAATTCTTTCTTCCTTCCTTTCCAACTCTACAGGTCTTTAATACATTCAGTCTCGGAGTGCTAAGGGCAAACCTCACTAGGTTTACAACCAAGTACCTACAGAGAGTAAATGGTAACTGGCCTGTACTCGCATAGTGCTTCATCGAGTCCAGAGGACGCCAAAGTACATCACTGTAGAGCAGGGGTGCCCAAGTCCAGTCCTCGAGAGCTACCATCCTGCAACTTTCAGATGCATCCCTGCTTCAACACACCTGAATCAAATGAATGGCTCGTTACCAGGCCTCTGTAGAGCTGATCCCGGTCTGTTGGAGTAAGGATACTTCTAAAAGTTGCAGGATGGTAGCTCTCGAGGACTGGACTTGGGCACCCCTGCTGTAGAGTCATTCACGCTGATGGTGGTGAGCTACTGGACAGTAGTCACAGCTGCCCTGGGGCAGTAAGACAGGTAGTCAAAGTCATCTGCATGGTAACAACAAAGACACGTCCATCATGAGAGACCCTGGTGGCAAACAACCAAGTAACTGACATCAAGACTATAAAGCCTCCAATGCTTTAAGGGTTTGACCCTACGTCTAACACCCCAGGACTGTAGTCAGGGACTGACGCGTGTCTCAGCCACCATCAAGTACGAAGATCCCAGAGTACACTATTCAGGCTGTTCTATAAACACCTAACTGAAAAAGGTAATTGGGACTAAAAAAAAAAAAAAAAACCCAACAACCTCAAAGCAAAACATAAAACTCAGATTCAGACATATAAAGACAAACGTACTGTATATTACACCAAGCTATAGATAAAGACTTTTTTTTTTCCTTCCCTACATGCCTGCAGGGCTCAGCTTATTTAGATTAAAAAATAAAATAAACTTTTTGCAAATTGCCTTTCTAACCTAAATCTGCAAGGTTATATAAGTAGGATTGAATTTGATTGGTTGTGAATGATTGTCTGCTTGCATTGTTGGACTGGATTGATACATTTGTGGATAGGATTTGGACCCAATTTTGCAGTCAAGAAACACGTTTCTGTTACTCTCATAAAAAACATTTTTACACACGTGATAAACAAACTAGGAAGCCTCCAACTGACCCTCTAGGTGGCATTTTCAAAACCCACCATGACCGTGCAGTCGGATTGACTTCCTTTAGTTTCCTCGTGTTTCACTTCAAGCCTCCTCTGAGCCGGGCGGCGCGGTGACGCAGTGTGCTTCCGCAGGCGGCATTAGCCCCGCGCAGACTTAACCGTCACCACCTTCAAGGATTAGGATAATGTGAGTTTGTTCTGAGATTTCAGGGAGCTTTTCAACAACCACCCATTATCAGGGAGTTCTGTTCTTTTTAAGTAATTATGAAAAGTGTTAAAAACATCTGGTAAGCCCGATTAGCTGTTAAAAATGGCCGTAATCTGACCGTAAATGTTTGGGAAGTTAGCCAAAGTCAGGCGGAGGTTTGTTTCTCCGCTCTTCGTTTCATTCATCTATGCGCTAAATAAAAAATAAATAAAAAAATCACTTCAGTTCGCAACATTTTTAATTTCTAAAAGATCATCTGAAACCAAATCCGTACTTATTCACATCCCTTCATAATTTTCACATTTCTTCACACTGACACACTTAAATGTGTTTTACAAATAGCTTAAAAAAAGTGGCAAACTTGTTTTCAACCCTAAAAAACTACTTTTTTTTTAACACTGTAGTTTATTTTAAAGGTATTATAATAAAGGGGTTAAACACAAACAAATGCCACAGATTTTATTGCTAAAAATGTATATTATGTTATTCCACTTCACAAATATCAACCAGGAGTGCAAATGTGGTCAACCTAAGAAATATTCTGACAAAATGATTTTCAATCCGTTTCTGAGCCGTCTGCAGGGTTTAGGAGTCTAAATCTCTCCTGTGGATTTTTAAACCTTAAAAAGAGCTCAGATGATAAAGCTGAAAACAAAACGAGAAGATTGGAGCTCAGAAGCGTTCTCGCACGCAAATGTGCAACTAAACTGTAAATCACTTCTAAACGCAGCCCAGATTTGCAAAGACTTTGTTTTTGGCAGCGCTCCTCTCTTTTGTTCGAGTTTTGACACGTGAATCACAAAGAAACGTTTAAAGAGGAAATGAAGATGCCACAAAAAAAAAAAAAACACGTAGAAAATGGAAACAGACACAGGAGGTTGATGAGCAGTCACTGTTAACTGATTATTGGTCCTGATTGCTGATCGACGATCCTCTGTTATCATTCAGTTGATTCGCTTTAGGGCCACAAGTTGGAAGCTGAACTCTTTGCTTCCGGACGCATCTCAGTAAAAAAGTCTGATTATGGCAAAAGTTACGACATGGGTCAACGGATAAAAAGTTGCTTTCAGATTAAATGTGGTTTCATCGGAAACATGAGAAATTCTTAGTCGTATGAAGATAAATGCATCAATACAATTTTCCTTAAAGCAAACTTTTCAGACAGGAAATGATTTGTAGTTTAAAAAGAAATGTAATTTTTAAAAATTTCTGAAGACTGCCTATGTCTAATCAAAGCCAGCTAGCTTTCTTCAGTCTTGTTGGACGATTATGTAATTTGTTTTCACACCATTAAATACCATTTCTAATTCTGCTGTAGAAAAAACACAATCAACTCATTATTCTGTTAATAGTGTAGCATCCATAAAATGATCAGTGGATAAAAAAAGGCCGTTTTCTTGGGAAATTCTGCTGCATAGAGCCATTAATACCTGGGAATTTTATTCCCAGATATTAAATTGATCCTTAAGTACATATTAAGAACCGGCAAGATGGCGATGTTATGGGAAAAGTAACGTATCCCAACCTGACACAGGAAGACATTGTGAAATCCACAACTTTGATCCCGATATACGTTTCCTTTTCAAACAGGAAGAGCATCAACAGGGACAAATTTCAAAGATTCCATCTTCCATGACAGCTTTTAGTCGTTGAACACACTTTTCAACACGGCAGACACACAGCAGCTATGAATGGTTTCCCTGCTAATAAAAACTGTTTTCTTGAAGAATGTCTTTGAATGCAACACAATAACCTTTTGAAAAGGGTGGAAGGTATTCAAAGAAAACGACATCAAACCAAACTATTCCCATCTGAACATCCCCTTGATTATCTCATCAGCCGACAGCCATCCAGTCGACTGATGAGGAAATGGGAACAGAGGAAAGCACACATTGGTTTAAAAACCTGCGAGTGATGAAATCGATGATAAACTGTTTCAGTCTGTGTGCAAAACCAGATAAGAAAGACAGCAGGCAAGCACACATGGAAAGGCCATTACAAACACTTAAGATATCACTGAGACTGGACTTTACAGATAAAAAGTAGTAGAGGTTATACTACATCAGGGTAGCTTCCTTTGTTTAATCAAATACTGGAGCCATCCAGTCTGATATTGTCACATTTTTAGTCCTAGAAAGCAGAGACAGCGCAGACATGCCAATTAAAAAGCAACATAGACAATCCACACAAATCGTTTCCTGGTCCTACACCAAACTAAAGACCCTAATTTAGGAAATCAACACTATCCTGGATTTTTTTTTTTTTTTTTTAGGTTCTAGGTTAGCCAACCACGCTTGGCTAGAAAAGGCGTTGGAGACTCTACTGCTTTTAAAAAGGTTTG